TGGCACTACATGCCCGTCAAAATACAGTGCTTCTACACCCCTATAACAAAATCGATAGCACTATTACACATCCCATACTTCTAATAACTCGATTGACTTCAAATTTCAAAATAATACTTGAATTCGCAAATTAATCATTTATGCAAAGTTTCAGGCAGTAAATCCATGTAGAAGTTTGTCTTTGGCACTACATGCCCGTCAAAATACAGTGCTTCTACACCCCTATAACAAAATCGAATGCACTATCACACGTGCAATAATTCTATTAACTCGATTGAACTGAAATTTTAAAATAATACTTCAATCCGTAAATTAATCTTGCATGCAAAGTTTCAGACAATAGATCCATCTAGAAGTTTGTCTTTGGCACATGATGCACGCTAAAATACAGTGTTTCTACACCCCTGTTAGAAAATCGATAGCAATATCACACATCCCATACTTTATTCACTTGATTGACCTAAATTTTCAGGATACTACTTCAATTCGCAAATTAATCATGCATGCAAAGTTTCAGGCAGTAAATCCATCTAGAAGTTTGTCTTTGGCACTACATGCCCGTCAAAATACAGTGTTTCTTCACCCCTGTAACAAAAGCGATAACACTATCATAAATTCCATACTTCCATTAACCCGATTGACCTGAAATTTCTAAAAAAATACTCGAATTTGCAAAATAATCATGCATGAAAGGTTCCGGCAGTATAAGTCCATCTAGAAGTTTATCTTTGGCGCTACATGCCTGTCAAAATACCGTGTTTCTACACCCCTGCAACAAAATCAATAGCACTATCACACATCCCATACTTTTATTGACTCGATTGACCTGAAATTTCAAAATAATTCTGCAATTCGTAGATTAATCATGCATCCAAAGTTTCAGACTGTAGATAAACATAGAAGTTTGTCTTTTGCACTATATGACAGACAAAATAGTGCGGTTTTCTACACCCCTGTAACAAAATCGATGGCACTATCACACACACATCCCATACTTTTATTGACTCGATTGACCTGAAATTTCCGTAAAATACTCCAATTTGCAAAATAATCATGCATGCAAAGTTTCAGACAGTAAATCTATCAAGCTTTGTCTTTGGCGCTACATGCCCGTCAAAATACAGTGTTTCTACACCCTTGTAACAAAATCGATAGCACTATCATAAATTCCGCAATTCCATTAACCCGATTGACCTGAAATTTCAGAATAATTCTGCAATTCGTAGATTAATCATGCATCCAAAGTTTCAGACTGTAGATCCATCTACAAGTTTGTCTTTGGCACTACATGCCCGTCAAAATACGGTTTTCCTTACCCCTGTAACAAAATCGATAGCACTATCACACATTCCATACTTCTAATAACTCGATTGACCTGAAATTTCATAATAATACTTTAACTCGAAATTTATTCATGCATGCAAAGTTTCAGACAGTAAATCCATCTAGAAATTTGTCTTTGGCACTACGTGCCCGTCAAAATACCGTGTTTCTACACCCCTGTAACAAAATCGATAGCAATATCACACATCCGAGACTTTTATCAACTCGATTGACTTGAAGTTTCTAAAAATATACTCCAATTTGCAAAATAATCATGCATGCAATGTTTCAGGCAGAAAGTCCATCTAGAAGTTTGTCTTTGGCACTAGATGACCGTCAAAATACAGTGCTTCTACACCTTTGTTACAAAATCGATAGCACTATCACACATCCCATACTTCTATTAACTCGATTAAACTGAAATTTTAAAATAATACTTGAATTTGCAAATTATTCATGCATGCAAAGTGTCAGGCAGTAAATCCATCTAGAAGTTTGTCTTTGGCACTACATGCCCGTCAAAATACACTGCTTCTACACCCCTATAACAAAATCGATAGCACTATTACACATCCCATACTTCTAATAACTCGATTGACTTCAAATTTCAAAATAATACTTGAATTCGAAAATTAATCATGCATGCAAAGTTTTAGGCAGTAAATCCATCTAGAAGTTTGTCTTTGGCACTACATGCCGTCAAAATACAGTGCTTCTACACCCCTATAACAAAATCGATGGCACTATCACACATGCAATACTTCTATTAACTCGATTGACCTGAAATTTTAGAATAATACTTCAATTCGCAAATTAATCAGGCATGCAAAGTTTCAGACAGTAAATCCATCTAGAAATTTGTCTTCGCACCAAATGCCCGTCAAAAGACAGTGTTTCTACACCCCTGTAACAAAAGCGATAGCAATATCACTCATCCTATACTTCTATTTACTCGATTGACCTGAAATTTTAGAGTAATACTTGAATTCGTATTATAATCATGCACGCAAAGTTTCAGACAGCAAATCTATCTAGAAATTTGTCTTTGGCACTACATGCCCGTCAAAATACAGTGCTTCTACACCCCTATAACAAAATCGATAGCACTATTACACATCCCATACTTCTAATAACTCGATTGACTTCAAATTTCAAAATAATACTTGAATTCGCAAATTAATCATTTATGCAAAGTTTCAGGCAGTAAATCCATTTAGAAGTTTGTCTTTGGCACTACATGCTCGTAAAAATACAGTGCTTCTACACCCCTATAACAAAATCGATTGCACTATCACACGTGCAATACTTCTATTAACTCGATTGAACTGAAATTTTAAAATAATACTTGAATTCGCAAATTAATCATTTATGCAAAGTTTCAGGCAGTAAATCCATCTAGAAGTTTGTCTTTGGCACTACATGCTCGTCAAAATACAGTGCTTCTACACCCCTATAACAAAATCGATTGCACTATCACACATGCAATACTTCTATTAACTCGATTGAACTGAAAATTTAAAATAATACTTCAATTCGTAAATTAATCTTACATGCAAAGTTTCAGACAATAGATCCATCTAGAAGTTTGTCTTTGGCACATGATGCACGCTAAAATACAGTGTTTCTACACCCCTGTTAGAAAATCGATAGCAATATCACACATCCCATACTTTATTCACTCGATTGACTTAAAATTTCAGGATACTACTTCAATTCGCAAATTATTCGTGCATGCAAAGTTTCAGACAGTAAATCCATTTAGAAGTTTGTCTTTGGCACTACATGCCGGTGAAACAGAGCTCCCATTTTGGGCATAAGAGAGTTTTATATATAGGAGGCCAGTCGTTGGTCACGTGTTGTTATCGCCAATCGTTGCCATGGAGATACCAAAAGATGTTTCATCTTTCTGCATCTTTCTGGAAGGTTTCTTCTTGGTTTCGTGAAAGAAAATATATCGTAAAGGCATAATCTAGCGAGCAATTGCTTTAAAACAAAGATAATCTTGTGAAATACTGGTATTATAATTATGTGAAAAATAAAAGTTCGCGTGAATTCAATGCATTTTGAAGTCTTGAATGGCACCTTCGATTGCTGGTGGCTACATGCATGCATGATTATATGGTGTTTAAAATCACATATATATTAAACAAAATATTTGACAAAAGGTAAGCTTTATATTTTTTTGCCAAATTTAAAATTATGCTCAAATGAAAGGCGCTGATTTGTAATTTTCAAATTAACTGTGCAATATAGATTTCATTAATTGGCTATTCTATCTTGCCATATTCTTTTTATTTCTTACATCATTCATTTACCATATACAGTACTTATGATTCCATGATCGAATTATTTAAACGCTAAGCGGTAACTTGGTGTAGGTGATAGCGTTGTGGGAAGAAATAATTGTAGTGTAGCTACGAACTCTTAATTTGTATCATGGTAGATTATTACAAGACTATTGTTTATATACTGGGTGCCCCCCAAAGTGTCCTCCTGTATAAATTATTCACCCTTCGTTGAACTCGCGTTGTTATACCTCTGGGAATTTCTAAAAATAGTTTCTACAATGTACAAAATGCTAACCACAATTAATATACTCAGATAAGGCCCAATGATCCAGGCAAGACGAGGCTTATAGTGAATACTATGAATAATCTTTACTGTAATTTTCAATCATGGATACGTCCATCGGATATGGAACCTAAACGGTACCCTCTCCATCCCGTAATCACATTGTCACACAGAATAACAGAAGTAAAAGCCCTGGAAGGAAAAAAAAGACACACAAGACACACATAGTAATAATTAGATACATACCATAGGAGTCTTCACTCATCTCTCATCCCACTTAACTCTCATGCAACGTTCCCTTTGATCATGAGAAATTTTCCGACTTATACACAGAATAAGGTAATGAAAAATCAGTGAAGTGTTAAAACAGAATTCAACTGAGCTTCAGGAAATAATTAAATCATCACTACAGGCATGCACATGCATGCAGATCCACATAAGAATACATGTTGCATGTTGACTCATGTCAACATATCAGAACAGTGGAGTTTTATATAAGTAAAAAATTTTCAATCTTTGCCATGCATATACTGATTATCAGCTACTGCAGGTACGCATTGTATTATGCTATCTCATTGTTTGCTTATTTTACTGTGTTTTACTTGTGATTATCATACAACTTACCTTTAATTTTTTAATGGTGTGCTGTTCAGTATATATGGATAAGTTTTGAGTCATTCGTAGTTATAAAAACCGATAGTCTGTCTTATAATACACTCAGTCGCGGGTGGTTTAAATAATCACTTTTTTTAAATGTGCATGTGCTATATAAATTATACAGACTATCACGAATATATTACAATGACTAATTAGAACAATTAGTATTTAACATATCTTAAACGATATAGACCATATGTACTACATCTGCTTTACAAAATTATCCACACCATTAAGTTAAGTGTGTATTTTCCCACTCCCAAGAAGTGTTTAAGAGGGTAGATAACGTGACCAGTACTCGTTACTATAAATTTGGCAACTTTTCTATAGCGGTCAGTTGAACGGTCGTGGTTTGCCAGTACATTATTAATGATTGTAGTTATGATTTTTCCTCAAGATGAAATTGCTAATTTAACACAGGAAAAAAGTTCTATTAGCTATATCAGTGATCTGGTATAAAATAAAGATTTTTTCACCGAGGCTATTTATCATATAGCTATTTTAGACTGCTGTTTGCAGTTTCCTAAACTTTCTATCATCGCACTAACAAGATTGCAAAGCAGTTAGTTTGACAGAAAACCGCGCTCCATTCGCATTTTGGACAATCTAGGTCCGTCTGCATTCCGATTTCGTGCTCTATAGGTTCATTTTGTTTCTGTATCATTCAGGTTTTTTAAATGGAAATCGATACGAGCCTTTCAAAGAACAGAGTTTAGCAAGTGGGAACAGGTATGAAGCACAAAATTATGATGAAAGTTTTATACTATGTGCATGTTGTGTATAGATTTGGGAAACACGAGATAGATCCCTTAGATTGTCAAACGTGAAAGTATTTCTAGCAACACTACTCTGCCTATCAACATCTTGCGTTAGATATTGTAATACGGAACTGATAACTTATTTAGGGAATATATAGATAAGTTTTGAGTCATTCGTAGTTGTTATAAAAACCGATAGTCTGTCTTATAATACACTCAGTCGTGGGTGGTTTAAATAATCACTTTATTTAAATGTGCATGTGCTATATAATTATACAGACTATCACGAATATATTACAATGACTAATTAGAACAATTAGTATTTAACATATCTTAAACGATATAGACCATATGTACTACATCTGCTTTACAAAATTATCCACACCATTAAGTTAAGTGTGTATTTTGCCACTCCCAAGAAGTGTTTAAGAGGGTAGATAACGTGACCAGTACTCGTTACTATAAATTTGGCAACTTTTCTATAGCGGTCAGTTGAAAGGTTGCTTTTTGCCAGTACATTATTAATTATTGTAGTTATGATTTTTTCCTCAAGATGAAATTGCTAACTTACCACAGGAAAAAAGTTCTATTAGCTATATCAGTGATCTGGTATAAAAAAAGATTTTTTCACCGAGGCTATTTATCATATAGCTATTTTAGACTGTTGTTTGCAGTTTCCTAAACTTTCTATCATCGCACTAACAAGATTGCAAAGCAGGTAGTTTGACCGAAAACCGCGCTCCATTCGCATTTTGGACAATCTAGGTCCGTCTGCATTCCGATTTCGTGCTCTATAGGTTCATTTTGTTTCTGTATCATTCAGGTTTATAATGGAAATCGATACGAGCCTTTCAAAGAACAGAGTTTAGCAAGTGGGAACAGGTATGAAGCACAAAATTATGATGAAAGTTTTATACTATGGCATGTTGTGTATAGATTTGGGAAACACGAGATAGATCCCTTAGATTGTCAAACGTGGAAGTATTTCTAGCAACACTACTCTGCCTATCAACATCTTGCGTTAGATATTGTAATACGGAACTGATAACTTATTTAGGGAATATATAGATAAGTTTTGAGTCATTCGTAGTTATAAAAACGATAGTCTCTCTTAGCTTATAATACACTCAGTCGTGGGTGGTTTAAATAATCACTTTATTTAAATGTGCATGTGCTATATAAATTATACAGACTATCACGAATATATTACAATGACTAATTAGAACAATTAGTATTTAACATATCTTAAACGATATAGACCATATGTACTACATCTGCTTTACAAAATTATCCACACCATTAAGTTAAGTGTGTATTTTGCCACTCCCAAGAAGTGTTTAAGAGGGTAGATAACGTGACCAGTACTCGTTACTATAAATTTGGCAACTTTTATAGCGGTCAGTTGAAAGGTCGCTTTTGCCAGTACATTATTAATTATTGTAGTTATGATTTTTCCTCAAGATGAAATTGCTAACTTACCACAGGAAAAAAGTTCTATTAGCTATATCAGTGATCTGGTATAAAAAAAGATTTTTTCACCGAGGCTATTTATCATATAGCTATTTTAGACTGCTTTTGCAGTTTACTAAACTTTCTATCATCGCACTAACAAGATTGCAAAGCAGGTAGTTTGACCGAAAACCGCGCTCCATTCGCATTTTGGACAATCTAGGTCCGTCTGCAATCCGATTTCGTGCTCTATAGGTTCATTTTGTTTCTGTATCATTCAGGTTTTTAATGGAAATCGATACGAGCCTTTCAAAGAACAGAGTTTAGCAAGTGGGAACAGGTATGAAGCACAAAAATGATGAAAGTTTTATACTATGTGCACGTTGTGTATAGATTTGGGAAACACGAGATAGATCCCTTAGATTGTCAAACGTGGAAGTATTTCTAGCAACACTACTCTGCCTATCAACATCTTGCGTTAGATATTGTAATACGGAACTGATAACTTATTTAGGGAATATATAGATAAGTTTTGAGTCATTCGTAGTTATAAAAACCGATAGTCTCTCTTAACTTAGCTAATACACTCAGTCGTGGGTGGTTTAAAATAATCACTTTATTTAAATGTGCATGTGCTATATAAATTATACAGACTATCACGAATATATTACAATGACTAATTAGAACAATTAGTATTTAACATATCTTAAACGATATAGACCATATGTACTACATCTGCTTTACAAAATTATCCACACCATTAAGTTAAGTGTGTATTTTGCCACTCCCAAGAAGTGTTTAAGAGGGTAGATAACGTGACCAGTATTCGTTACTATAAATTTGGCAACTTTTTTATAGCGGTCAGTTGAAAGGTCGCTTTTTGCCAGTACATTATTAATTATTGTAGTTATGATTTTTTCCTCAAGATGAAATTGCTAACTTACCACAGGAAAAAAGTTCTATTAGCTATATCAGTGATCTGGTATAAAAAAAAATTTTTTCACCGAGGCTATTTATCATATAGCTATTTTAGACTGCTTTTGCAGTTTACTAAACTTTCTATCATCGCACTAACAAGATTGCAAAGCAGGTAGTTTGACCGAAAACCGCGCTCCATTCGCATTTTGGACAATCTAGGTCCGTCTGCAATCCGATTTCGTGCTCTATAGGTTTCATTTTGTTTCTGTATCATTCAGGTTTTTAATGGAAATCGATACGAGCCTTTCAAAGAACAGAGTTTAGCAAGTGGGAACAGGTATGAAGCACAAAATTATGATGAAAGTTTTATACTATGTGCATGTGTATAGATTTGGGAAACACGAGATAGATCCCTTAGATTGTCAAACGTGGAAGTATTTCTAGCAACACTACTCTGCCTATCAACATCTTGCGTTAGATATTGTAATACGGAACTGATAACTTATTTAGGGAATATATAGATAAGTTTTGAGTCATTCGTAGTTATAAAAACCGATAGTCTGTCTTATAATACACTCAGTCGTGGGTGGTTTAAATAATCACTTTATTTAAATGTGCATGTGCTATATAAATTATACAGACTATCACGAATATATTACAATGACTAATTAGAACAATTAGTATTTAACATATCTTAAACGATATAGACCATATGTACTACATCTGCTTTACAAAATTATCCACACCATTAAGTTAAGTGTGTATTTTCCCACTCCCAAGAAGTGTTTAAGAGGGTAGATAACGTGACCAGTACTCGTTACTATAAATTTGGCAACTTTTCTATAGCGGTCAGTTGAACGGTCGTGGTTTGCCAGTACATTATTAATGATTGTAGTTATGATTTTTCCTCAAGATGAAATTGCTAATTTAACACAGGAAAAAAGTTCTATTAGCTATATCAGTGATCTGGTATAAAATAAAGATTTTTTCACCGAGGCTATTTATCATATAGCTATTTTAGACTGCTGTTTGCAGTTTCCTAAACTTTCTATCATCGCACTAACAAGATTGCAAAGCAGTTAGTTTGACAGAAAACCGCGCTCCATTCGCATTTTGGACAATCTAGGTCCGTCTGCATTCCGATTTCGTGCTCTATAGGTTCATTTTGTTTCTGTATCATTCAGGTTTTTAATGGAAATCGATACGAGCCTTTCAAAGAACAGAGTTTAGCAAGTGGGAACAGGTATGAAGCACAAAATTATGATGAAAGTTTTATACTATGTGCATGTTGTGTATAGATTTGGGAAACACGAGATAGATCCCTTAGATTGTCAAACGTGGAAGTATTTCTAGCAACACTACTCTGCCTATCAACATCTTGCGTTAGATATTGTAATACGGAACTGATAACTTATTTAGGGAATATATAGATAAGTTTTGAGTCATTCGTAGTTATAAAAACCGATAGTCTCTCCTAACTTAGCTTATAATACACTCAGTCGTGGGTGGTTTAAAATAATCACTTTATTTAAATGTGCATGTGCTATATAAATTATACAGACTATCACGAATATATTACAATGACTAATTAGAACAATTAGTATTTAACATATCTTAAACGATATTGACCATATGTACTACATCTGCTTTACAAAATTATCCACACCATTAAGTTAAGTGTGTATTTTGCCACTCCCAAGAAGTGTTTAAGAGGGTAGATAACGTGACCAGTACTCGTTACTATAAATTTGGCAACTTTTTATAGCGGTCAGTTGAAAGGTCGCTTTTTGCCAGTAAATTATTAATTATTGTAGTTATGATTTTTTCCTCAAGATGAAATTGCTAACTTACCACAGGAAAAAAGTTCTATTAATTATATCAGTGATCTGGTATAAAAAAAGATTTTTTCACCGAGGCTATTTATCATATAGCTATTTTAGACTGCTTTTGCAGTTTCTAAACTTTCTATCATCGCACTAACAAGATTGCAAAGCAGGTAGTTTGACCGAAAACCGCGCTCCATTCGCATTTTGGACAATCTAGGTCCGTCTGCATCCGATTTCGTGCTCTATAGGTTCATTTTGTTTCTGTATCATTCAGGTTTTTAATGGAAATCGATACGAGCCTTTCAAAGAACAGAGTTTAGCAAGTGGGAACAGGTATGAAGCACAAAATTATGATGAAAGTTTTATACTATGTGCATGTTGTGTATAGATTTGGGAAACACGAGATAGATCCCTTAGATTGTCAAACGTGGAAGTATTTCTAGCAACACTACTCTGCCTATCAACATCTTGCGTTAGATATTGTAATACGGAACTGATAACTTATTTAGGGAATATATAGATAAGTTTTGAGTCATTCGTAGTTATAAAAACCGATAGTCTCTCTTAACTTAGCTTATAATACACTCAGTCGTGGGTGGTTTAAATAATCACTTTATTTAAATGTGCATGTGCTATATGAATTATACAGACTATCACGAATATATTACAATGACTAATTAGAACAATTAGTATTTAACATATCTTAAACGATATAGACCATATGTACTACATCTGCTTTACAAATTTATCCACACCATTAAGTTAAGTGTGTATTTTGCAACTCCCAAGAAGTGTTTAAGAGGGTAGATAACGTGACCAGTACTCGTTACTATAAATTTGGCAACTTTTTTATAGCGGTCAGTTGAAAGGTCGCTTTTTGCCAGTACATTATTAATTATTGTAGTTATGATTTTTTCCTCAAGATGAAATTGCTAACTTACCACAGGAAAAAAGTTCTATTAGCTATATCAGTGATCTGGTATAAAAAAAGATTTTTTCACCGAGGCTATTTATCATATAGCTATTTTAGACTGCTTTTTGCAGTTTCCTAAACTTTCTATCATCGCACTAACAAGATTGCAAAGCAGGTAGTTTGACCGAAAACCGCGCTCCATTCGAATTTTGGACAATCTAGGTCCGTCTGCATCCGATTTCGTGCTCTATAGGTTCATTTTGTTTCTGTATCATTCAGGTTTTTAATGGAAATCGATACGAGCCTTTCAAAGAACAGAGTTTAACAAGTGGGAACAGGTATGAAGCACAAAATTATGATGAAAGTTTTATACTATGTGCATGTTGTGTATAGATTTGGGAAACACGAGATAGATCCCTTAGATTGTCAAACGTGGAAGTATTTCTAGCAACACTACTCTGCCTATCAACATCTTGCGTTAGATATTGTAATACGGAACTGATAACTTATTTAGGGAATATATAGATAAGTTTTGAGTCATTCGTAGTTATAAAAACCGATAGTCTCTTATAATACACTCAGTCGTGGGTGGTTTAAATAATCACTTTATTTAAATGTGCATGTGCTATATAAATTATACAGACTATCACGAATATATTACAATGACTAATTAGAACAATTAGTATTTAACATATCTTAAACGATATAGACCATATGTACTACATCTGCTTTACAAAATTATCCACACCATTAAGTTAAGTGTGTATTTTCCACTCCCAAGAAGTGTTTAAGAGGGTAGATAACGTGACCAGTACTCGTTACTATAAATTTGGCAACTTTTCTATAGCGGTCAGTTGAACGGTCGTGTTTGCCAGTACATTATTAATTATTGTAGTTATGATTTTTCCTCAAGATGAAATTGCTAATTACCACAGGAAAAAAGTTCTATTAGCTATATCAGTGATCTGGTATAAAAAAAGATTTTTTCACCGAGGCTATTTATCATAGCTATTTTAGACTGCTGTTTGCAGTTTCCTAAACTTTCTATCATCGCACTAACAAGATTGCAAAGCAGTAGTTTGACCGAAAACCGCGCTCCATTCGCATTTTGGACAATCTAGGTCCGTCTGCATTCCGATTTCGTGCTCTATAGGTTCATTTTGTTTCTGTATCATTCAGGTTTTTAATGGAAATCGATACGAGCCTTTCAAAGAACAGAGTTTAGCAAGTGGGAACAGGTATGAAGCACAAAATTATGATGAAAGTTTTATACTATGTGCATGTTGTGTATAGATTTGGGAAACACGAGATAGATCCCTTAGATTGTCAAACGTGGAAGTATTTCTAGCAACACTACTCTGCCTATCAACATCTTGCGTTAGATATTGTAATACGGAACTGATAACTTATTTAGGGAATATATAGATAAGTTTTGAGTCATTCGTAGTTATAAAAACCGATAGTCTCTTAACTTAGCTTATAATACACTCAGTCGTGGGTGGTTTAAATAATCACTTTATTTAAATGTGCATGTGCTATATAAATTATACAGACTATCACGAATATATTACAATGACTAATTAGAACAATTAGTATTTAACATATCTTAAACGATATTGACCATATGTACTACATCTCCTTTACAAAATTATCCACACCATTAAGT